AGGAGGAGGAGTAACAAAAGTGGATGTTTAATAAGAAGGAAATACTTAGGAGTCATAAGTATGTTCCTGGACACCGAAACCAGTGAATCAATGCTTAACCGTAAAAGGGTTGACTGGTTGATAAGTGCCTTTACTTAAAGTCGGTACAAATCGGGACGATGCCTCCCGTAGCCTCAGTCGCGGCTACATTAAAAAGAGAAATCGGTATATGCATAGTTAGGGCTTCAATTTCTTCCAGTAGCTCTTTTATTTAACAGGAAACTTTTTCTCTCCGACCAAGTTCTTCCTCAAGGGCCTAACAGTCTGCGGTATAAGCTGCGCATGTAACTGTTCCCTGGGCAGTGCGTAATCAATTCATGTGCCGTACTTTGACAAAAGATATTAGCTATTCTATCTCGTCAACTCTTTAGACTCACTTTGAAATGACCGTTGAAACGTGTAACAAATCAAGAGACGGACATAGCCATCTCTGACCTATTTGTCTTTTTCACTGACTTATTATTCAGTTGCGTGAATGCCTATGACAATTAGTCCAGCATTAGTTTTTTCTGTCCCTCCTCCTTCAAGTGCGCACTTCCAATGGTTTCACCTGACATATATATGCACATATAGGAGGTGGGCTAACTCATGAAATGCCAACCGAAATTTTGAAATGCGTTCGCGTTTGGAAAATATTAATTAAGTAGGGTTATAGAACTAGTCAGCCTGCTACACAATTCAATAATACTTCAGTTACCTCACAATGCCGGCTTTCGAACGAACTTAATTCCGCCTGCATGCAAAAACTATACTCTGTAAAAAATGACTACTTAATTAGCACGAATTTTTCTCATTGATTTTCGATGCTCCTAAAAGCTCAATTATATTTCGTGGAAAACGTGCATAAAAATTTTAATTTTTTTCGCTCATTCGGTAGATAATTACGTCTTCTCCCAATCGTGTACTCGAAGGAAGGGTATAATTCGGTTTTCGAAAACTTTTCCAATTCCCGAATAATTTTGAACCCGCTCTATCGTTACACTTGGATTCAGGGTTTCGAAACTACAAAACGTATATTTTCCGCGTACGGAAGACCACATATTTCTCTACGGTAATAAAGGGAGACTATATAGATTTCATCAAATTTAGCGGCGGATTTGATCCATATTGTTAACTGTACAAGCCACATTGGTAAATGCAGAGACACGACGATCTATGAACGGCCATTTCACGGTATTTAAACGTCCCACAATGAGAAACTTTTTAAAAGCAAATTATGTCCCTCCTTCGAGTACAAAATTAGAAGAAGACGCAGTTATCTACCGAATGAGCGAAAGAACAAAAATTTATATGCATGTTTTCCATGAAATATGATTTAAATTTCAGGGGCATCGAAAATCAATGAAGATTCATGCTAATTAACTAGAAATATTTTACAGACTGTAGTTTTGCATGCAGCCGGAATCAAGCGGGAATCCTGAGATAACTGAAATATTACAGAAATATGTTGCGGGCTGACTAGTTCTACAGCCCCACTTAATTAATCTTTCCGAAACGAAAACGCACTTCGGAATTTCAGTTGACATTCCATGAATCAGCCCACCTATTATACATATATATATATATATATATATATATATATATATCGATATGCGTAAAGATTCGAGGTCCAGACATTGCATCGCGTTCATCATCTCCCGAAGAAGACGAAGAAGTAGAAAGGGCGAATTCATGGACCATATTGTATTCGAACTGACGTTTCGGAAACTTCCTCGTTTCCATCATCAGAGTAGCGTAATTGTTGCACTTGCCGGTCTTGAGTTGTTCAGTCTTGCCGCTTGCCTCGTATTATAGCCGTGCTGGACGCACGAACTTTGACCTGCCTGTTTGCCGCTGACTGGCTTAGACCTCCCAGGGGCTGACCGCTGACAGGCCTGAGTGACCTTTGGGGTCGGCGTAATTGTGGTCAAATCAACGTGCCGCTTGGCCTCTCCCACCTCAGCCGGTGGACTGATCGGTCGTTGCTGTTCAGGTGAGCAGCATTCAGCTTCGCGGGCGCATCGGTGAGACAGTGTTCGGCTTTCGTCACATGACCTCTGGCCCCCAATTCTGCCCTTTTCCGTGAGCGTTGACTCTCGGTCCCGCGTGCTCGCTTGCCTTACTGGTCTTGTCCGGACTGATCCGAGCCTTGTACGAAGCGCCTGGTAGGCGGGATGTAGATCTATAGCTCGGTTGAGTGTACCAGTCGAGGACCAACTTTCGAGCACCAGTCTGGCCATCTTCTCATTGGCTCGACCAATTACCCTCGCTTTCTCAAAGGCAAAATCGTGGTTCAGTTCTCTTATGTGGCCATAGACCAAAGACAGCTTGTCCTTGCGATTGATTGCAAGTTGGTGTTCGTGCAATCTTGTACCGAGGCGTTTGCCCGTTTCACCAACATACCTTGCATTGCAATTTAGGCATGGTATGCTGTAGACCACCGCCGACTGTTCTGTTGTTGGAAGCGGGTCTTTGGGCTTCATGATTTGCTGTCTGATGGTGCATTCTGGTTTATGAGCCACGCCAATCCCAAAAGGTTCCAGGATTCTTGCCGTTGCCTCTGATACGTTCTTCACATAGGGTATTGAGAGCCAGAACTTGGGCTTTTCTCCACTCGACCGCTCAAAATGAGGCTTTTTGAGGCAATTGCGTATGATGGACTTCGGGTAGCCGTTGGCTTTGAAAAGGGCGTGTAAGTAATTCATCTCCTCCTTCCTCCCACTGTCGTCGCTACAGTGTGTTTGAACACGTTGAAAGAGAGTTCTGACACAACTGCGTTTATGACCAACAGGGTGGTTGCTTCGGAAGTGGAGGATGCGCCTGGTATTTGTTGCCTTACGGTAAACCGTTGTCCTTATCTTCCCGTCTGTCAATCTCGTAACTTGTACGTCCAGGAAGGGCAACTGATTGTTGACTTCCTCTTCCATAGTAAACTGAATATCGGGAAAGATGGAGTTCAACAATGCCTTGAAAGCCTTCACCTCGCTCCTCTTGATTACAACGAACGTGTCGTCGACGTATCTGGCCCAGAACTTCGGGGGGTACGAGCTGAAGACCTGCTGCTCGAGTCTCTGCAAAACTGCTTCGGCAATTAGTCCAGACAGAGGCGAGCCCATCGGTGTCCCCTTCTTTTGCTCGTAGACTTGGCCGTTGAATGTAAAGAAGGTCTTAAGACACAGTTCTAGGAGCTCGATGATGTGTGCTCGTTTGAGCTGTTGGTCGGTTTCATCATACTTTTCCCGGAGAAAGCCATCAATAGTGTCGATAGCCAGCGCGGGTGGGATTGAGGTGAATAATGAGATCACGTCAAATGACACCATCACCTCATCTGCCTCCACTTCGAGATGTTTGATGCGCGTCAAGAACTCTTCAGCCGACTTCACTGTCCACTGCGAATCCTTGGTAAGGAAAAAAAGTCGCTGGTACAGCCACTTTGACAGCCCAAAGGTTGGAGTACCACGTAAGGAGACGATGGGGCGTAGCGGTACCCCCTGCTTGTGGACCTTTGGTAGGCCGTAGAAGCGCGCCATCGCGGTATCACTGGCTTTTGCGGCCAACGCCTCCCTTCTCGTAAGAGCTCCCGCCTTCCTCAGCTTGCCGATCGTATTGTTTATGTTGTTTACGAGCTTTTTAAACTCGCTGACGGTCGATGGCACATAAGCTTCCTTGTCCATCAAGAGGTTGCCTAGTTTTCTGCAGTACTCAGCCTTATCCATGACGACAGTCGAGCGCCCCTTGTCGGCGGGCAGGGTGACGATATCCTTCCTTTTTCGTATCTTCAGAAGTTCACGATCTTCTGCTTTAGAAATCGTCATCTGGCGTTTGTGTTGGAGGAGTAAGGTCGACACTTGCTGTCGCATGGCGTTTTTGCACTCCTCGCCTGCCTCACACTTCTGGAGCGCCGATTCAAAGGATGCAATAAAGTCTTCTGGTCGAGCATCTCTTGTGTTGAACTTCGCGTCATAGGATAGAACCGCTAGTTGTTGCTGAGTAAAACGATGAGAGGACAAGTTGTGGACCAAGGCACCGTCAGTCTCACCGATGCGCCCGCGAAGCTGAATGCTGCTCACCTGAACAGCAACGACCGATCAGTCCACCGGCTGAGGTGGGAGAGGCCAAGCGGCACGTTGATTTGACCACAATTACGCCGACCCCAAAGGTCACTCAGGCCTGTCAGCGGTCAGCCCCTGGGAGGTCTAAGCCAGTCAGCGGCAAACAGGCAGGTCAAAGTTCGTGCGTCCAGCACGGCTATAATACGAGGCAAGCGGCAAGACTGAACAATTCAAGACCGGCAAGTGCAACAATTACGCTACTCTGATGATGGAAACGAGGAAGTTTCCGAAACGTCAGTTCGAATACAATATGGTCAATGAATTCGCCCTCTCTACTTCTTCGTCTTCTTCGGGAGATGATGAACGCGATATATATATATATATATATATATGAAGCTCAGAGGGGGTATATATATATATTCAATCAGGAATGGGCGCACACCGATCCATTGGCTCCACAAAGCAAACAAGCTCAGTATGGGTGGCAAAGGTCACGATCAGACAACCAATTACCAAGCCGAAGTCGGTCAGATCATAATAGCAGCAAGGAGGGACGACAGAGAATGCGGGTAGATTGATACAGTACTGTTTCGGGCTTATTATGCCTTCATTCAGCTAATCATAACCCTGACCACCAGCAGTTGGGACCACAAACACAAACATACACACAGACGCACCTGGCGCAGTTGATCCACCACTGGGCTCTACCAGATGGGTCATAAGCACTTCATCGAACTGAAGTTCATCAATGCCTCGCCACCTGTCATTTTCTGTCGCTGTAGATAGGGAATTTACGCTATTACCTATGTCGGGAGTACGGTATAATTTGTGACCCTTGCACCCACACGGAGCTTGTTTGCTTCGTGAAGCCAATAGATCGGTGTGCGCCAATTCCTGATTGAATTAATACCCGACCTGTAGCGACAGAGTATGACAGGTGGCGAGGCACTGATGAACTTCGGTTTGATTAAGTGCCTATCTACCCATCTGGTAGGCCTCAGTGGTGGACCAACTGCGCCAGGTGCGTCTGTGCGCATGTTTGTGCTTCCGGTCCCAGCTGTTGGTCAGGGTTATGATTGCCTGAATGAAGGCATAATAAGCCCGAAACAGTACTGTATCAATCTACCCACATTCTCTGTCGTCCTTCCTTGCTGATATATATATATATATGGAAAGGTACTACCGACAAAGACAAGGGAGACCGGAATGGCCATTTCTGGCTTATTAGCCGTCATCAGCCAGTCATACCCAACCCCAAGTGTGGATCACTTGAGATTCGAACCCGGGATCTTTGGTCATGGAGTTGAACGCTCTACCATTGAGCCACGGGCCCGTTGTCCTGTCGGTTGTGATCGGGAATATTAATTATGATAGTGGGCGCTCACCGATCAGGTTACGGAACATGCTCGTTCCGTTGTGCCTTGGGGCTCATACTTAAACCCTCGCAGGCAGTCGCACAGCGACTAGTGATATATGTTGGAAAGGTACTACCGACAAAGACAAGGGAGACCGGAATGGCCATTTCTGGCTTATTAGCCGTCATCAGCCAGTCATACCCAACCCCAAGTGTGGATCACTTGAGATTCGAACCCGGGATCTTTGGTCATGGAGTTGAACGCTCTACCATTGAGCCACGGGCCCGTTGTCCTGTCGGTTGTGATCGGGAATATTAATTATGATAGTGGGCGCTCACCGATCAGGTTACGGAACATGCTCGTTCCGTTGTGCCTTGGGGCTCATACTTAAACCCTCGCAGGCAGTCGCACAGCGACTAGTGATATATGTTGGAAAGGTACTACCGACAAAGACAAGGGAGACCGGAATGNATGTTCCGTAACCTGATCGGTGAGCGCCCACTATCATAATTAATATTCCCGATCACAACCGACAGGACAACGGGCCCGTGGCTCAATGGTAGAGCGTTCAACTCCATGACCAAAGATCCCGGGTTCGAATCTCAAGTGATCCACACTTGGGGTTGGGTATGACTGGCTGATGACGGCTAATAAGCCAGAAATGGCCATTCCGGTCTCCCTTGTCTTTGTCGGTAGTACCTTTCCAACATATATCACTAGTCGCTGTGCGACTGCCTGCGAGGGTTTAAGTATGAGCCCCAAGGCACAACGGAACGAGCATGTTCCGTAACCTGATCGGTGAGCGCCCACTATCATAATTAATATTCCCGATCACAACCGACAGGACAACGGGCCCGTGGCTCAATGGTAGAGCGTTCAACTCCATGACCAAAGATCCCGGGTTCGAATCTCAAGTGATCCACACTTGGGGTTGGGTATGACTGGCTGATGACGGCTAATAAGCCAGAAATGGCCATTCCGGTCTCCCTTGTCTTTGTCGGTAGTACCTTTCCAACATATATCACTAGTCGCTGTGCGACTGCCTGCGAGGGTTTAAGTATGAGCCCCAAGGCACAACGGAACGAGCATGTTCCGTAACCTGATCGGTGAGCGCCCACTATCATATATATATATATATATATATATATATATCCGCTCCAGTCCTACCGAGTCCCAGGCTTAGGGACGCCCGAGGCCCGAACTCACGCTTTGCTTGTTATTAGTCCAACACCCTAACCACTGAGCCACGACTGCTTTATCCTATCGGCTGCGGCCGAGCACATGAACTGTGGTAGAGGGTGCTGGGTGATCGCGTTACGGCGCATTTTCTCCCCGTTGCCTTTGTCGAGACTCGCTTCAGCACATATCCTTGGTCGCTATACGACTTGCTCCGATGGCTCTACATGTCCCGTGACCCAAACAGTGAACGCATCGCTAATATAAGTTAATATTCCGATCGCAACCGCCTCGACAACAAGCCCGTGGCTCAATGGGTAGAACGTTGGATTTAATAATTTTGCGAGTTTTAGGTGCGGCAAACCTGAGTGTTGGTAAGGCTGGCTGGAGACGTCCAATAAGTCGGAAATGGCCATCCCGGTCGGGACTTGTTTCCGCACACCGGTTCACCGACGGGACCGCGAGGGGTTCGGCTCACCACGGGCTTCGAGAAGGAAACAAGCTAATGTAGTTTGATGGGACGTCAACGAAGGAAAGTAAACGGCTTCAGCCGGATAACCAGGCAGTGGTCGCACTATTGGAAGACCTCGGAACCCAATGAAACAGTGTAGGACATCTACCTTTCAAACTTGCAAGGGCAGACTCCGCAGCCCGAATAAATGAGGCACAACGGTCTGTTTAATGAGGCAGTCTACTTATTAACTACGTTTTGTAGAAAAAAGTAACTCAGAAAATGCAGACAGACGTGCATGCAAAAGGGCGTGAAGTGTTACGGTTACAGCAGGAAACGCATGATAAGCAGGCAAAAGTGAGAATTCCAGCCTGTTTCATGAGTCGTTGCACGACAGTGAACTTCCCGATTGTTATCACCTCATTACAGACCACGAGTATAGGATCGACCAGTGAAAGTGTTCCCTCCTCCCCATCGACATGAAAACGTACCTACAGACTTTGTGCCACAACTGGTTCACTGTTCAGGGACAAGGTTTCCATGAAAGCGTGACTAAGATTCATCTTGCTTTGGGTTGTAAGTAACTAGTTCCGCTCATGGAAAAAATACGACAGAAGTAGCTATCAAAGTATACAAGGGAGGGGAATCAAAATCGATCTTGTTCTGTGCTATCTGTGGGTCGAAAGAACGCCGCCACCGCTTCACAGGCCCACGGGTTTCCGACTAGAGCAGGCTTCCCGAACTCCGAAGGCCATTGTGCTTTGAGTTAGCTTGGCAACCAAAGTGTAAGCAGATAGCAGTGGATGAAGAACAGGCACTGACACACTAACTGACGAACTCGATACTACTGACGAGAGACGCCTTGCTGAAGACTTACGGGCATCGATCTTAAAACAGCTTTACTTTATGGGGTTCAGAATCTAGAGTGAGAAAATGAACGGAGATCGAACGTCACTATATTTGTCTGAGAGTCTGGATCCGCACAGGAGCCTACCATTTAAGGCCGTGAAGGGAATCGACGAGCGCTTACTTCCGTGACTGAAGACGGAACCATTCTGTTATCAGTGTGCCCATGGAACGGAACTCGCGCCCGCATCCAGGGTAGAGGTGGCGATTTAAGACGGCAGGCTACTCCCTCCAAGTCGCCAGCTCGTGTTATTGTATTCGTGAACAGTGCCGTCGTGCGGTCCGGCTCGTACACTAGCATGGACAGTTGCGGCACGGGAGGGAATAAACTCAACCGGATCGCCAACTTATATCCAGCCTGCCCTTCATCCACACTACCTCACACGCGTCAACTTCTGGAGGATGCGTTCTGTCACGCCCTATACATTCCTCATATGTAGCAAACATCGTTACCGTGTTGGTGGCTTTCGTCCGTTTGTCCCATGCGGTGCGCGCGAGCCGCTAATTCACTGAAGTTCATGGGTAGCCATTACACATGTAGATACGGTGGTTTTAGATTTCGCTCCCCCCCACATCATGGTAGTGCATTCTGACATTCTGGAAAGGGGTACTAACAGAGTTTCACGTGCGCCCCATGCGAGAGTTACTGCGGTGAAAGCATAGTAACGAGAAAAATTTGGGCTGGAACTGATAGTCATGTCTGGATAGAAGGTTCTTCTGGTTAGAAGGCAAAACGGGGAAGTAGAACTGACTGAAGCCTCAACCGCTTTCGTCTTGGCAACGATAAACCCCAACTCTATCGACGGTTGAAAACTACGGACGTTTTGGCAGATTGAATAATTCATCTTGACCCAACCGTGGAAAGGTCGGCGACCTCGGTGGGATTCGGACCCACGGCAACAAGGGAGTGACTTGAGCGTAGCCCGCCTGATGCAAATGTGATTAAACTCACGGTTCCCGGTGAGGTCTCGTAACTCAGGTGGCTAAGGCGTTGTCTGTACTCAAACCTTGCCCTCGCTTTCGTGGGTTCGGAACACACCAATCGTCGTTTTTCACAGTTACACGAAAAATAGATAACACAATAACGCCTACTAGGTTATAACAGTAGGTGATACCTAACACAAAAATAGTTTAGCGGCAGCCATTGCCGCTGCAGGTTTCTGACAAAATCCCGACCCCACGGCTAAAGGGTAGCATCTCTCGCGTAACTCACAAATTTGTTTCAGAATGCCCTTCCCATTTAAACCGTGTGTAAATGCTGGCTGGATAGAATTCAACCGATGATCTGTGATGCTGGAATGACCGGAAATGAGCGTGGGCGCAATGACCGACAGAGGTACTTAGCCCGTCTACGAGTGTCACACCCCACTTGGTTTCCGCACAATGTACCAGGCTTTTGCGAGGGCGGTTTGGACCTCATATGCGTAAGAGTGCCGTGGAGGCCGCATTCGGAAGGATCAGTTGTCGCCGGACTAGCAGTCCTGATAAAGACTAAATTACCCCGTTAGTTACCACACTACCAGTGCGTCGCGATAGACTCAGCTGAATTAGATTTATTATGACGAGAAATGCGTTGCTATGTCGTGGGGATGGATTCCTAAATGTCGGACAACCAAGTGGGGATGGAATCAAACACAGTGACCGACGCGCAGCGTGCCACCACACGCCCGTATGGCACGTGCCCATCCACACAACTAGAAAGTCACTCGTACAGAAAATAGAATGAGCACCTCGCCAGAGACGCTGGTCTTCTTTACCTATGCGACCGGAGGCCCAGTCCCGTCCACAACAATCCCTGAATACGAAGGCTTTCGGATAGAACGACTCGTCGATGGCCTTTAATATGCTTAGGAAGTCCTTAGAAAGGCAGTCTACTTCTGGGCATGCCATGGTCGTCTCTGTTACGCTTGGTAACTGCTCTATCGGATCTGACCACAAGAGGCCACCCTGTTGGGACTCAAGACAACCGACTGTTCCCATATGTGCCGGCGTACCAATGCTACTCATGCTCAGTGGACAAAACGCCCTGTCAGTTCTCGAAGTGCGTGCGATCCTGTAATGCGGTTTGGCGGGAAGAGCATGAATACGAGCGTACGAGGCCATAATTAGCGACCGGTCACATGGATAAAGTCTAACCAGCAACAATAGGACATGAGAAACACTGATTCGTGGTGCCGTAAACCCTGTGAAGCCACGTACACTAGCGCTCGATAGCCAACACAAGTCGGCAGATTTCCGCGTGTCCGCGAGACAAGAAAGGCAAAATGTTTATCAAACAGAAAGCGGGGAAGCAAGATATAAGTCAAATTAGTCAATAGACATGAAGAGGGGCCAATAGGCAGGATGACCTATTATGTACATTGTGTGAAAGTCAAAAGGAGCCATGTGACAGATTTACGAGTTCGCTTGGTTCAAACTAAGCTTGGCCACACATGGATAGAAAGACGTTCTTGTGTCCTTATCCCCTAGCAGGCTACACAACTGTATTTCATCAAACTGGCCTTCTTCCATTACGATGTGGTTACCGTAATCCTGGAGGACTCCCGACGCATTGAATGACACGGGACGGATATCCTCCGTTACTCCCGTCGGTACCTGCGATCGTTGACGCTCACATCGAAGACGAGCGTTCATGACAGTCATGTGCAGTTTGACTGGATCTCCAATTTCTCGACGGCCGCTGTGAAGTCCGTGCTGAGTAAATAAATCTGCAATGTTGTTCGCGACAGTCTGCAAACGTCCGGCTTCGGCGTTATCGAGGAGCTGATAAAGGAGAATAGAGATGCGTTTAGATCGAAGTGACTGACATAAACATTCGCACTCGCGGCCCAATCGCTTGTAGCATGGAAGAAAACTATTAAACTTACCCTGGCATAGAGAACATAGGCAGATTTCGGATCATCATTCATGCAGTCAAATCCTCTGATGGTAAGACGAAACGGTCCATCTCTCGATAATGATTCACCCAGTTGCGTAGTCGCGAACGAAGTAAGAAGTTTTGACGCGAAAGAAACTTCCCGCTCGTCCGCTAATAACAGAGTTGCAAGGGTAAAGTGCAATTTCGACTCAGAAGGGAAAAGATCCGCATCGACGTAGCCGTAAAGGCGGTTCTGGTCATTATGGGCGCTTTTGAGTACCTGCTCCCGAAAGTTTGCAAATGACTCCCGTGCGAGCGGATGGAGGACGGGCAGGCAAACAAAGTGGGTAGGCGGGAGGAAGCACCTGGCATCGGTCATGATACAGCCAATCCTGCTTAAGACGGCTGAAATATTGGGAGATGTTTCTGCCACAATTTTGATATGGGCGTCAGAGGATGACTGGCTAGGGATGAGCAGCTTGCAATTTAGATCAGTCTCTAATTTCCTCTGAGTGGTTCGGTTGCCGCCGATCAAGTTCTTGTGAAAGATCTTGGGCACGTAGACCGTTCCAGTATATTTGCCCTGTTCACAAGATATGGGTTTCGCAAGAGAGACGGTGGTCGGACCCGAAAAGACGAATTCATCTTCTACGTCCTCCACAGTTGAAGGTTCGCCTGGAAAATTTAAGTCGGCGTCGTCTTCTAGGTGGCCGACCGGCACAAGTTCAGTTGAGGATCTAGACGGGTTTTTACGATATAAACGACGGCCAATCTTTATGATCGGTGGCAGCAAGGTGTCCATCTCAAAGGCAGGGCGACAGGGAGTGTAACAGTCACGGTAGGTTTACCGGAAATTGTCTGTTGAGAGACCTGGATAAGAGACAGCCGCAGTGAAAGTTTATCTCGGGGTAGGGGAATCCACAGGATAACGGTACCGTTTCCTAGTGTAAGAAGACTACTTAAGAAAAAAGCATTCGTTTATTTATAAAATGGAATTGAAGTTTGAGGGAGAAGGAGAACGGGCATTATAAAAAAAAGAAAGTAATAGACTCTACAGATTAGTGTCAGCAATATGAGTAAGAAACAAAGACCAATTTCTGGAAAATGTGTTTTTTGAACACTTAAACCATAAGCGATACTGGGCCTCGTCCAGGTGCTCCCATTTATGATCTCCAGTTGATCCATGCACGGCGCGTAATCGACGTTTTATCTTACTCCAGTAACTTTCAATGTGACTTGTGATCACTTCTGTCTCAGGACTAGCAAAACACTGTGAGTGGTTCACAGTGTACTGCTCCAAACCGACGTATGAAACTCCAGTGTGGCTAGGCCATTCGTCCGAAACGAGTACACTGTACGGCCGAACCCACTTCCGTATTAAAGCAATAAGACTGGAAGCGTTTCTGTCAGGAACTCTTTGAAAAACAGCTCTTCTTTGTACGGTGTCGTAAATCCCGCATATCCATTCTTGAGGACGGGCTGTTCGACGGTTAGGTTTCCGTCGCGTTATAACTGTTTCGGCTATCTCCACGACAACTCCAGAACCCCCCAGGGGAGTATTAAATTGTATCAAGATGGCAGAACATATTTGTCTGCACTTCTTATAGCACTCAATTGCAGAACGAAGGCTTATGCAAACCATTTCTGAACATACAGTAACCGGGACATCCAAAACAAAACAGGCAAAAGCATGCAGCACCTTTCCTAGTTGTAGGTGACTGTTGGCAAAAATAGTTCCGGTCCGTATGCTTTCAATCCTCTTGCATAACTGGCATTTCAATACTACTCCCTCAGCACTTTTCATCCTCCTTTGTAATAGTAATCTGCCTCCGCAGTTGCAAAACCCATCTGTCTTAATTAGGTCGAACCTCATTGCATACGTTGCTCCATTGTTCTTATATAATTCACCGACCAAGTCGCGAAAGTTTACCTCCTCTACAGTCATTGCTCGGTAAAGCCGAAAAGTGGTGCAAACAGCAGATATTTCCTACATAGGCGGAAGTCGGACAGAAATATGGTGACAGAAAGCAGAGCATACTACATTGGAGACTAAGAAACTGGAAAGGAGAAGGCGCCCGACGGTTCAGCACACCTGAACAAAAGCCCCCTACTATACCCCAAGCGGAAGCACAAATTTAGTTATTCGCACTTCAGACGCACACATTTACCTAAAGATGAATGGTAGGTCGGGTCCAGGTGATTGTTTCGAATTTTTGCATGTAATCCCAACTACTGGCCGCTTTTACTTAATTGCAGAGTGATGAGCAGAGAGGTTCTCGTGCTGTCATCTGGTTGATTTTACGATGAGGGTATTTGACTATTGCATGATATGCGGTCAGACATAATCAAAACAGGCGATCTTTGTGAATATTATGCAGACTACAACCACAAATGCGTAAGGAAACTGTTGAAGGAATTATATATAGACTCCGAAACGCGAAGAATGGGACTTTTCCGACCAACAAATACCTACAATTACCCAAAGTGCTTCACACATTCTCTAGCTTCATCTTGTCTCTTAGGTTACTGTACATTTCATGATGGTCAGCTAAAGCCAACATACGGCACTTGACTGTCGTAACGAATGCAGCCATATCTGCCCCGTCGTAGACAAACAGTTACTGAGTCTTTTAGGTTTCCTGTAACGCGCTGATCTCTAGTAGTCCACAAATGTATGCACCTGCCTCCACTTTCGAATAACAGCTTCATATAAACCGACATTTCCACGTCCACTATGTTTATGGCTGCTTCTCGTTAGTATTTTCGCCGTACGCTCACACCTCCCCTCAGGCAACTTAACGGTAAATGGGAGGGACGGCAGAAAATGCGCATCTGTTAGAATTAAGAATGAACTTACGGATTTCGCACAAACAAAAGCGTTATAAACCGAACTACGAACCGAAGGAAAGATGAAATTGAGGGGACTGAGAACAGAATTGGGGGATAGAATTGGTCAAGGGGAGTAAGGGCTGACCATCAAAAATGGCCAAATCCGGCCAGCACCAGCCTCGCCTAGCCCCATGAAAAATGGCGGGGCTAGATGGGGTATGAAGGGGCTGTAGAAGGGGCCGTGGAAGGGGTTTCGCGGGACATTCAACACCACAGCCCCGCCTGACCCAACTAGCGAAATAAAATTCATAGGGACGCGGGAACAGCAGAAGATCAAGATTATTAGCGCAAAAGGGCCATTTCGTGAGGAGAACAACTAGCCTTTGGGCCTGGTCAACCTATAATTAACCCTGCCAGCACCAGCCCCGCCTAACCCCTTCAAATATTGCGGGGCTAGAGGGGGCTATGAAGGGGCTGTAGAAGGGGCTGTGGCGGGGCATTCAACAAGACAGCCCCACCTGGCCCCACTAGCGAAAAAATGCGCAGGAGACGCCAGATTTCCACCCACTTTTGGCACTCCTTTAAAATATCGACCTGTGTGATGAGTCCCCTGATGCGCACACGCACAAAACCTGCCGGAAGAAGTTTCAGAGCTCAGAATAGGCATTTCTCGTTCGAGGGGTTGATTGCCAACTGCTGTCGACGTTGAAGGAACCCGAGACTCAGGCTTTTCAGTGGCCTTATAATATACCTACATCTGGCGCTTAATGTGCTTGTATATGGCGGTTCGGTGAGGGCCACAGTAATTACGCTTCATAATAGCTTTGCATATTCAGTAATAAACGATAAAAAATTTGTAGTAGTGGACTATGAACACCAATGCTAATCAGTACATACATAGACAAACAAATAGACTGTTTGAACTTAATTGTGAGTAAATACCCAAACAATTACCATAAGACACATAAATTAACTAGGACAGTTATCAACAGCATGAAAACCCGTGGGCGTAAACGAATGCTTTTTCCATGACTTGTAAGCACTTTTAATAAATTAGCTCCTTTTAATGCCAAAGAAGGTACAATGAGTGGTGCTTATGAAACATAACTTTCAATGTAAACACGCTTCAAAATGCTTCAATCCTGAGGGGGCTCTGGCCACACCCAGCCCCTTCGCAGTCCCGCCTATGAAGGGGCCATTTGCTGGCAGGGAATAGTCCAGACCAAGAAGTCTTTCCCGTGGTGAAATCTGGGCCTCTCCGGCGAAACGATCATTGAAGGTCAATTAGTTCGGTATAATTCAGTGTATTTATGTGCAATGGGCAATGCCCCTGAAGACCCTATTGAAAACGGCACGTACAATATTCGGGGTCAAATAAACATGTTGCTAAAATTTTATCGGTAACGTACACATTTTGCATATTATTCTCCCCGAAGTAGCAGGACTGAAACCCGGGGACACTCAGTGTCCAAGGCACGCAGAACGACCGGATTTATCTTCCGAAACTTTTGAAACTAGCGATATTACAATGTGCCATTATAAAATGTACGTTAGACCTGGCCTGGAATGCTGTCCGTTTTTATCTAACGTCATGCGTGCTTCTGAGCGGAAGAAAATAAAATCCGTCCAACATTTTTTGCCAAAATATCTTTAGCCTCGATACGCCGGAATTTGTCTTACCAAGAACGTTACGGGCTTACACGACTTGACACCTTGTGGTTTCGTCGACTGCTAAAAGGACTATCGCTACCGTTTTAGATCTTAAAAATCGTACTTTTACTCCGCCTATCACTCTTAAACATTCTTTCCACCCCGACGTAATTGTCACCGTGTGGTCTTTAAATTTCTATATCTGTCACGTTCCGTTAAACATCGTCGTTTCCTTTCTGTGAACGTAATTGCAAGTTGGAACAAATTACCCATAAATGCAAAAATTGTGCAAAATTATTCTCTGTTTAAGAGGACAATTACTCGCTTTTTCATTCAGAGAATCGCCCACATATTTTGGGTCCCGAATCCACCGATTTAATCTACCTCCGTGATTGGGCTCGTGCTCTATGATCCCCCTGGCCGGTCTCGCTACTAACACTTTTTTCAGCCGCTAGCAAACAACGGTTCTTCAATGCCTCTGTTTGGTCACGTCGCAATTCCATAAGAAGGAATGGAGACTGGAAATATCCGGCGCAGTATAACGACCCCCCCGCACTTTCTGGAATGACGCTATTCCACAGGCAGCAGTTTTTTCTCCTGAAACATCCAAACTATAAAAACACTATCCTCTGTATTTATTCATAAGGAGTTTTTTCACTGTTTACCCGATCCGTGCTTTATCATTCTTTGACAGTGCCTGTAATTTAGCATTAAATACGACTGTTATTCTTATTATTGTAAAGTGAAATAACTATCATCCGCATTAGCGGTAGGTGTATGCAAAGCAATGGTTTGGTATAAGAGGAGTGTTCCGTCCATTTTGCAAGCATATATTCATGCAGTCTCTACCGTTCCATGAGCAGCAGTTTCTTCTTCTTGAAAACTAATTAAATCGCATCCATTTTATCTTTTTTCAAAAGAAGGTGTCTTTTACTACTCGCCGGCCGTTTTATAAACGTGTGACAGTTTACTCCATAAGCATAATCTGAATACCGTACAGTCTGTCTACTTGTTCTAAAATTCACTCGAAAAAATTATTTTTTCTTTCTATGAGGGTACCCCAAGGGTACTTAATAAAAAAATTTGTTCAGTTGTCAAAAAAACGATGCTAACAACAAGAGACTGTGACCTGAACATACCCAGTTTTTTAAAGTTACGTGCCAACTCCCAGGTGGTCTTTCCCATGTACAGTGAAGATTATAAATGCAATTATATACATTCAACACAAAATATCGTCACTTGTGTGATTTGGGGGAAGGTGTTTGCATCAAACGCGCAAGGATGCTTTGCATAGGGAATGAAATTAGGAAATAAACTTCGTGGTTGGCCAGAGGTAGTCCTGCAACGGGGTCATCTTTTATCAAAAATCGAACGATCCGTCTGCCTTCTGATTACAACCATGATGTTAGATGTCATAATTTTGCTTGGGAATGAGTTCTACAGTTGAACTACACGCTGAGGGAATGAAAACTTTCGCTGGTTTAGGCGCGTGAATTTGCGCTCGACCTTGTATGGGTGGCCGAGCAGGTGACTCATGTTCGTGAACCCAAAGAAATCTTAAGATTTAAGCGAATAGTTTTGCTCGGGGATAATGCGGAATGCCCACAACAGGTCGCACTTAACTCATCTACATGGTAGGGGAACAACTTGAACTGGACCAGTCTTTCCAATTATGACAGACTCTTAAGACTGCCCACGAGTATTGTCGTCCGTCGTTGCACCTGCTTGATAACACCACTTTCTTCTTCCAAGGCATCCATGCCGGTATTCTGTATTCCAAATACGGTCTGACGAACGTATCAAATATCTGCGCAAAACGTTCTGGGGTAGGCTAAAAAAGTGCCTGACCCAATGCATGGTACCGGTTGCCTTTTGAACGACTTTTGCAATGCTCAGTGTGGAGTAAATTTGACCGCCAACTGTTGGCCCGATCGCGTACCTCACACAGAGTCTGTTAAATCTAGTTTCTTTCTAGCATGTATAGATTCGGTCGCCTGTGTCGGCTTACTCCGTTCAGACCGTACATGGAAACGGTGTAAATAAGCGCAGATCCTCTTGAAGCGGAGAAGCTATCGGTCCAGCTGATGTAGACGGATTTTCGTGAGTCTTCGAGAGGCTATCAAGAGGGTTAGAGACGACAACTGGGGCTGCTGCTAATTTGGGGGCAGACGAAGGCGTTAAGCTGCTTGAGTGGGAGGGAGATATAGGTGTAAGGGAGAGAAGGGAATCAGTGTTCTCAAGAGTTGGATTAGCTGAATCTTTGCGGTAACTTTTATTAGGGCCGAGTTGGTGAGCATTTGGCCGGGACGATGAGGGTTTACGTAAGAAAATGGACCCAATTCTACGCTCAATGAAGGTAAGGTCAGAACAACGGAAACATCCACTTTTTCCAGGTACGCGGAAGCACGATCTCGGTGGGCAAAGGTCGAATCAACCTCAACTGACAAAAACAACTTAACTAAAGCGTGCGGATTTTCGCTTTGGATTGACAGGCATTTGGCATTCCATATTTTAGAGATGAACCCTCACGAGTACAGGAGATCAACCGTAACATCAGCTGGCCGTGAAGGTCGAGGAATATTTTCCAACGAGAAGTAATAAGCTCTTTTTTGCTTATCACTTGCTTCACTGGCAACTAGGTGAACGAGTTAATCAAGACGTTTGCATTCTTGAGAGGGAACATCGGAGATATTCCCGTCAAATAATTTCCCCAGAATTGAGAGCACAGTGTCAAGCTCCAGCATAAATCGTTGCCATCGTAAAGCGCATGTAGATCAAGCTGTTCCTCAATAACAACGGGTGATGAGTGGCTATTAGTGCTTTCTGACCTGCATTTAACTGAACCATGCCTAGGTGCGGAGGCCGAAAGCCTTCGCCGACCTGTGACTTTTGCTCTCATCTTGTTTCGAGGTAAGTTGCAATCAGCCAAATCTTTTTACATACCTAATGGCTGAATTTCATCAAGTCAGTCAGTTTAAGTCAGTTTATTAAGGGAATGAGGCTTTCGCCCTTGAGCTCCCTATTCTTATCGATAAACAGAAATAAAGTCATCAATTACATCAGCAAATGCGAAAAGTTAGGAAGTTATCGGTAAGTGTGAGCTAGGCGCAAACTGCCGCCGCTAAAACAATCATTATTGTATGTACAGTAGGTTCTCAACAAGTGAGCGTCTAGTCTGCACTTAAAGGATTTGACACTTTCAGAAAGAACGACGGCGTCAGGGAGTCCATTCCATGCCCCGATGACCCTGTGAGAGAAGGCGTTCCGTCGGACGTCCATATGAGCCCGCTTCCTTTGCAGCAAGGCGATAACGGTGTAGAGAAAACATACACGGCTAGAGACAGCTCGAATGAAAAAAATGCGAAATGCAGAAACGCGACTAGTAGCTGAAAGACACAGTCCAGCAAAACACAAAAGGGAAAGGTCAACCAATATTTAATAACCTTACCCAAAATAAAGGCCAATAGTCTTTGCATCTCTGTGAAAAACCGCTTTAAGCCATACCTCCATATTATCTTCAGATTTTAAACCAGCAGTTTGACCTTGACATTAACTGGACTGCTCCATATTGTGGCCTTTGTTAATTTTTCCCATTACTTAAGGCTACTCGTAAGACATGAGGTGCCACGACGAAATCTGTGCTGAGCAGCACGCATAAGGTTTCGCTGCTCCAGATACGTTATTAAATGTCCTTTAATAAGTCGTTCCATGAACTTCCACAAAATGGAGGTTAAATTGATGGGACGGTAATTTTCGGGATCCAGCCTGGATCCTCCTTTGTATTTTGGGAAAATGAGGACAGTTTTCCATTCCTCCGGCAGGTCACCGTCTTCTAAAGACTTTGGGAACATCATAGACACCGGCTCACATAGTCGTCAGCCAGTTCTCGAAGGGCAAGCGCATGAATTCCATCTCGACCAGGTGATTTGGCAGCCTACAATGGACGTAGTCCTGCCCGAGTAGAGTGCCCCTGTTTCGATTAAAAAGATTCCCTTTGACGTTAATTTGCTCCAACAGCTGCTGGACAGTATGCTTTGCTCGAAAGATAAAGCAACCGTTCCCACAACCTTCAGGATCGGAGAAAAATTAGTAAACATGTAAAAGAAGAAGACACGATCGCCGGTACAAGAGCTTTATTAGCCTGACGTTTCGGATTCCTACTCGAATCCATCATCAGAGACAAAAGAGCAGAAACGTGTGGTTGTTGCACAAGGGGCTGCGGTATTTATAGGATGCAGTAGCCATGCTACCGCATAGCTATGAACGTTCACGGCTCTCCCTTCATCCGGGATTGTCACACTTGGTGTGATCATTGCTTGATGGCTGACATTCGAGTCGATAATTGCTGCAATTTCATCACGTGCGTTGGATGTTGGCGTGATGATTGCTCGACCATCTGACGCGTTGACCCGGGTGTTGGGAAGAGTGTTCACCAGTGCGCTCCCGGCGTGGCCAATTACTCCGCCTAGACGAAGTCTCAGCACGCTGTATTGAATGGGAAGATCGTTGCACTTGTTGATGGACTGGGGGCCAGTAAACCATGATTCCAGTAGCTCCCGGCTCACTCGGTTGTCACCTCTTGCGAGAATTTCGGCCTCATCGAATTTAAATGTGTAGCCGGATCTCGTCGAATGAGCTGCAACTTGAGAGCTGGCGTCATTTCTGCGCACCGCTGCCGCGTGTTCGGCCATTCTCGTTCGGAGCTGTCTTCCGGTTTCTCCGACGTAGTTGCTTTGTCCGCAACTGCACCAGATCTGATAAACGACTCCAGACGTTTCTAGCCGTGGCAGTGGGTCTTTCGGTTTCATGATCAGACGCCTGATGGTTGCCTCCGGTCTGTGTGCCACTCCAACCCCAAGTGGTGCGAGAAGGCGGCCGACAGCTTCCGAAACGTTCTTGACATACGGAAGTGCCCGCCAAGACTTGGTGTCCGTGCGGTTAGGCCTTTCGTCCCTTTTGCGTATGCACCGGTCGACGAAGTTGCGCGGGTAGCCATTGGCTTTGAAGACCCGTCGGAGGTATTGTAGCTCAGCAATTTTGTCTTCCGGCTCACTGCAGTGCGTTTCGACACGCCGATAGAGCGTCCTTACACAACTGCGTTTGTGGCTGATTGGGTGGTTCCTGTTAAAGTTCAGTACTTGCATCGTATTTATCGCTTTCCTGAACACTTTGGTCTTTAGTCTACCACAATCCTTGCGGCATACGAGGACATGTAGGAAGGCCAGCTGGTTGTTCTCTTCCTCCTCCATCGTAAATTGAATGTCCGGGAAGACGGCGTTGAGATGTTCTTGGAATGTCAACACCTGATCCCGTTCGATGACGACGAAGGTATCATCCACATACCGGGCCCAGAATTTCGGTCTGTGGTGTTGGAAGACCAGCGACTCTAACCGTTGCAGGACCGCCTCGGCGATGAATCCCGAAATCGGCGAACCCATTGGTGTGCCCTCCACCTGTTCGTAGATTGTCCCGTCGAACGTAAAGTACGTCCTGAGACAGAGCTTCAGGAGCTGAAGGATTTGGGCGTGTCCAAGACGGTTCTCCGTTTCATCGTTCAGTTCAGTTCAGTTTATTGAGGGAAATAGGCGTAAGCCTTTGAGGACCCTATTTGCAACGTAAAAAATATGTGGTGTACAGATAGATGTTCTGGGCTGAAATAGTTCGAACACGCCCATAATGGTGGGACAAAATGAGAAGGAGTTACAGGGGGTGAGCTCGACGTCTCATCGCTCTTGGTCATTTCGGAACATAAATATGTCCAGATTCTTCTTAAAACTTTGTATAGACGGTGACATCACAACATCTGCGGGAAGCTCACTCCATGGTTTGACCACCCGAACCGAGAAGGAGAACTTCCGCACATCCAGCCGTGCCTGCTGAGTGCGCAGTTTTAACGGGTGACCTCGGAGGTTGGTCGTGGTAGCAAATTCAAAAAAGTCCTCGAAGGCCAGACTGCAATCCAACCCCTTTACAATGCGGAAGGCTTGCAAGAGATCTCCGCGAAGTTGTCTGTAACTCAAAGGAAAGAGGTTCAGATTTACTAGGCGGGTCGCATAAGGAAAGGAGCTTTGACCCCTAACCATCTTCGTGGCTCTCCTCTGGACTCTTTCGAGGCAGTTTTGATCCACAACAGCCCACGGCCTCCAAGCTTGTATGCCATACTCTAAATGCGGCCGGACGAATGTTCCGAATGTCTTAGAGAAAGCTTCTTCGTCAAAGTCCATAAACGCACGCTTGATGGCGTACAGTACGGACATTGCGGTTTTTGCCACCCTCGAACAGTGGGCGGATGGTTTTAGGGAACTCGTCGTCAGCACACCGAGGTCCCTTTGGGCTTCGACCTCTTGTAGGGCTGCACCGCCCAGAAAGTAGACTCTTGTGCTGGCGGATCTGGCTGTGTTGCCTAGGCGAAGTATGCTACATTTGGCAACGTTGAACCGGAGGAGCCAACGGTTTGACCACTCCTCCAACCGATTCAGGTTCATCTGCAGTCTGTCTTCGTCGGCAGGACCCCGAATTAAACTCCATATCTTCATGTCATCCGCAAACATTGCTACTTCACAGTCTAAAGCTCTTGCGGCATCGTCCACGTAGATAAGGAACAAAATGGGTCCCAGTACTGAACCCTGGGGGACACCACTATCGACCATAGCCGGATCTGATTTTCCCCGACCGACGCACACAACCTGCTGTCGACCCACAAGGAAGTTTACGATCCATTTAAGGAAGTTGCCACCGATCCCTATTTTTTCAGCTTATGTAAGAGCCTTTGGTGTGGCACAGTGTCGAAAGCCTTCTGGAAGTCGATGAAGGCTATGTGGACCGCGTGCCTGTCGTCGAGAGCTTGGGTCCGGCTCTGGAGAGATTGCAGCAGGTTTGTCGTGCAGGATCTTCCTTTTCGGAACCCATGTTGGCATTTCGATAGCAGGCCGTGAACTTCCAGGAATTGCATCAGTTCACACTTGATGATCCTTTCCATAACTTTGCAGAGAATGCATGTCAAGCTTATGGGCTGGTAATTTGTCGTCGCTGCCCTGTTACCTCCTTTGTGTAGCGGAGTAATATGCGCCAGCTTCCAATCGATAGGAAGTGTTCCAGTGTCAAATGACGTTTGAAAGAGCATCGACAAAGGCACAGAAAGCTCACTGGTAAGTTCCTTCAGAAGCTTCGATGGAATCTCGTCTGGTCCTAGCGACTTCGATTCGTTCAATGCCTCTAATTCTCTTCGTATTTGCTTTGGAGTAGCAGTTCAATTGTCTCGATCGCCAGGTCCTGGGGAATAGAAGTAAAAAGAGATGTAACAACAAAAGATACCATGACCCCATTTGGATGGATGCTTACCCCTTTGAGTTTCTCCAGGAATTGTGCTGACGAAGAGACCGTGGTGTCTGACTCAGCGGTCAGGAACTTGAGACGCCGGAACAGCCACTTAGCCAGTCCGTACGTTGGAGTCCCTTTGAGCGACACGATGGGTCAGAGAGGAGCGCCGTCTTTGTGCACCTTAGGGAGGCCATAGAATCGGGCCAAAACCGTATCTTGGGTTCTCGCCTAGGCGGAGTAATTGGCCACGCGGGGAGCGCACTGGTGAACACTCTTCCCAACACCCGGGTCAACGCGTCAGATGGTCGAGCAATCATCACGCCAACATCCAACGCACGTGATGAAATTGCAGCAATTATCGACTCGAATGTCAGCCATCAAGCAATGATCACACCAAGTGTGACAATCCCGGATGAAGGGAGAGCCGTGAACGTTCATAGGTATGCGGTAGCATGGCTACTGCATCCTATAAATACCGCAGCCCCTTGTGCAACAACCACACGTTTCTGCTCTTTTGTCTCTGATGATGGATTCGAGTAGGAATCCGAAACGTCAGGCTAATAAAGCTCTTGTTCCGGCGATCGTGTCTCCTTCTTCAAGACTACTTCCTGGGACTCGGTTCTTCGCTTCTATTAACTTAGTAAACAGTCGAAAACCGCGCGGTCATCCCTATTAAGATTACTGCGACAACAAAGAAGAGGCTAATTTGCTTCTCTCTAGAAAAAGCAGCCTCCGAAGGTCTCATAAAGTGTTTTTTAGCCGGACAACTCTTCGACGGGACGTCTGAAACGCCGCAAATTAGTGTCGGATTTGAAAAGAGGATCTGAAGATGGAGAGAACAACCTGGCTATTTCCTTGTGGCGAGTAATGCCGAGGATCACGGTGTTGCAGTGGGACCAGCCAAAGATAATGCCGACAGTGGCATCGCAGTATTGGCAAGCTTAAAACTAAGTAAACAGAGCAGTGCCGAATATTCCACAACAAAACTCACGTACGCCAACGCCTAGATTCCGTCTTCAAAACTGGACGAACTGAGAACTCAGGTAGCTACTAAGTTCCCAGATGTTATACCAATAACAGAAAAGTGGTTGCTACAGTGTTAGTGATTAAAAATAGCATTACCAGGATACCATTTATTTAGGAGAGACGGAACCGACCCTCAGAGTGGAGGGGTTGTCATGTCCAAGAGGCGCCATACTAAACCTATTCTGTTTAAAGAAAAGCTTAATCGCATGTGAAGAGACCGAGAAGATTACAAACGACACAGAGGCCACTTGAGTAACAGTAGGGGAACAGGGACCACAGTCCTTTGAATTCGTGATCGCCTACCGACCACTGAGGGCGGGTTCCGACGCGGATACTTGTCTGCTGGAAAACAAAAGGGGGAGCGGTGGTCGACCTGACGTTGTTCTCACGAACAACATCAATGCACTCGGCATCCGATGGGACGATAGGCAAACGAAGTGATCGAAGTGTGCCTTTGAAGTTATTCAAGGAACGTTTGCGACATCTCGGGAAAAACCACTGCCACTTATCAGATCCCATAAAAACAAACTGGAATTACTGGCCAAAGAGAAATCTTAAAATTGGTCATCATGATAGGGGGCTGTGGAAAAATTCTTACAGAAAGAATGAAAATGCGGCATTTGAGGAATACAAAGTTCAGGGAAACAGGAGAGGTCCCGTTGTTATCCGTGCTGGGCACTGTCAAGGAAGCCTTTTTCCCAGAGCAGCTTTGCCGTAGATTTTTCTGACTAATCTTTCCATAACGTCACGACAAGTCCATGTTAGGCTCATCCGCCGATATATGTTAGCACTTGTTCTGGGCCCGCCATTGTGAATGGAGTCAAATTTGCCGCTTTCCGATCAGAGGGAAAATGATCCGATCATAGGACGACTGAAAAACCAGCAAAGGCGTTCTGAGTTCAGAAAAAAGCCCTTTTAGTACTACTGTCGGTATTTGGTGTGCACCCGGTGACTTAAATTTATTAAGCGTAAAACATCCTTCCTCGTAGAATCTGTGAATTCAGGGCCTAACATGACTGCGTCGCCACTCCGGGCGGGGAAGCCCGCTTGATACTAATCCGTCTCTTTGACAAAAAAATACTTCAGAAGATGGCATAAATATTACGCCTTATCGTTGTTTTCAGTGAAGTGCACATCGGTTTCTCCCTTTGACATTGCGACCGTCTCTTCAATCTCTTAATTTGCTGTTTATGTAGCCGGACAGCACTTTCCGTCTATCTGCGGCCCGTCCAACAATTCGCGTTTACCAATCCTTCTGCCAACTGTGGGCATATGAATTTACCTCTTTCCGATTTCTGTAAAATTTCTCATAATGTACGGATGTGTTGTTGTTACGCGCGCACTCCGAAGTTTGTTCTGTCAAATATTATTCTTATGCAAGACCTCACATTATCGCCTAAGACGTGACGTAAACAACCTGACGCGCTTCTAAACAATCACAGTGCGTAAAAGTTTTGGGTGTGGAAGGCTGCCAAATGACGGGATAACTCTGTCCTCCACTCAGGACGGAGAGTCAGGCCGCAAAGTCTCCTTTCTAGTATGGAGTCTATGTCATTCCACTCAGTTGGAATCCTAGTCACCCAATTTTGTTAGCGTAAAAGCCTGCCTTGTCGTGCGCAGACGGGCTGTTTAGCTATGCTTGCTATTGTGCCCGATTCCGCTCTCGATCTTATCGACTGAGTCGCGACACCGTTCTCGGGTGGGTGAGACGGAAGGGAGTGCGGCAGGTGCAAGCAAGTCGCTGTCCCGATGTCCACCCTAGTGTGTGGCACACCGTGAACATTGTCGGTAACGACGGCCGAACTGTCGTGTGCGAGTATTTCGTAAAGGCATACTGCATTTATTTTAGCACATGTTGCCGAAAAGTTCTTTATATCTGAACGGCCCCATTGTAAAATGAGACGAAGAAGAGAGGAGTACGAGCAGTTCTGGTAGGTTTATGCACTCATCCCCTTTTTTCCGATCTTACCGCTTTTTAGGTTTATAACCTGATGTGTCAGTGACTTGTGTGATCAGTTTCTTTTTAGTCCACATTTACATTACAGAGCCGGTTTGAAAGATGACCTATCCTATCAGAAATATATAAGCATTATAGTTCGTAAGAAATTTACCTAGTTTACATTGAATTCTGTCAGATTTTGACCATTTTAGGGGCACTTGGGAGGGTTCTATTCACTGCAGTTTAGTTTATTGAGGGAAATAAGCTAACGCCTTCGGATTTCTTAGTTGTCATACAAAATCAGAGGGAATAGCAATGATGTAAATAAATTACAGTGTCAAATGGAAGCGGACTTCAGTTCACATAAGTGCGTTTGTTTTAAGGGTATCATGGTCAGGTAACGGTCGATCGCTGCCGTATATATTAGTCAGGGTAATGTTTGAACGTCTCCATAGACTGAAACATTACGGTCGCCTCGGGCAGATTATTAAATGGCTCCACTACATGATTAGCAAAAAATAATTTATCACATCCAGTCTTCCTTTCAGCACGCGCAGCTCGGAGGGATGCATCCGGAGATCAGTTTTAGTGGCCAGTTGGAAGAAGTTCTCCCACTGGAGGGCACGGCACAAAATTACTGTATCAATCCCCCACACACTTGCCTATAACTAAGAGCACAGAGACTTGCGTTATTTGGACGGGTCTCGTGTGACAATGCTTCCTGACCTCTGACAGTTTTTTTTGGCTCGCATGTACACTATTCTGAGTAAGTTACAATTTTGTCGGCTCCAGGGCCTCCAGGCTTGGATCGCATATTCAAGATGCGACCCCACAGATGTACCAAAGATTTTGGAGAAACAGGTTTCATCAAAAACTGTGAATGTCTGCCTGACGGCATACAGAATTACAGTTTCGGCCTTAGCCACTTTACAGAAAAACGTTTACGGCTGTAGATTTTTCGTTATTCGAACACCGAGGTCTTCCTATGTTTCGGCTTCTTGGATTATTATTTCGTTCAGAAGGTAAGTGCACATATCAGGGTATCGGCTTCGATTTGCGAGACGAAGCACGGGACAATTGCGCCCGTTGACTGACAGGGGCTATCTGTTGGATCACTCTTCCAAACAACAGGGATCTTATTCGACGTTCTGTTCGTCAGCAGCACTGCGCATGACTCCCCAAATTTTTACGTCATCCGCAGACGGTACACATCCACAGATCACTTAATAAACAATAGAAAGAGGGTTGGTCCCAGCAGTGAACCTTGTGGACTCCACTGTCTACGACTGTCTGCCTTAACTGCTCTTGCGCCAAACAAACTTCCTGGGGATGACCGACGAGAACATTTTCAATGCATTTTAGAAG